AATAGGCTGGAAGCGCTCATTGTGCCACGTGTCTTGTGGAGTTGGTGTAGTGGTTTTTTGGCTTTGTTGGTGGTTTCTGTGATGTGTTGTGTCCATCGCAAATCGTCTTGGAGTGTAACACCAAGGTGCCTATGTTGGTGGACCTGCTGCAACCGAGTCGAGTGGAGCGTGATGTGGATGGTGTGTTGGGGTTGGAAGGAAAGGACGACGGTTTTCGTGGTGTTGACGAGGAGATGCCAATCCTTCAACCATCGTCCTGCTGCGTCCACGGCACGTTGGAGGAATGCAGCTGACAAATCCCTCGTGTAATGCGTCGCGATGAGTGCCGTGTCATCGGCGAACTGGCTGCATTTGGTGTGGGAGTTTGTACATGCTGGGGGGAGATCGATCGAGTACACCAGGAAAAGAAGAGGCCCCAGGACAGAGCCCTGAGGTACTCCAGCTGGAATGGATTTCCATGATGACAAAGCGGAGCCAACCTTGACGCGTTGTCGGCGGCGAGTCAGGTAGCCTGTGAGCCAGGTAAGGGCAATGCCACGGACACCAAGGTGCTCGAGTTTGGCCAGGAGGCCAGCATGCCAGACTCGGTCAAAAGCCTTTGATAAGTTAAAGAAGCATGCTGACACTGCCTGACCGGAATCTCGGCTGGCGGAAATCTCATGCACTAGGCGGGAGAGCTGTTCAGTACTATCCTTAGATCGAAATCCAGATTGGTCGGCCGGTAGGTGGGGCTCAATGTGGGTGTAGAGGCGTCGGTGAACAATCCTCTCCTGAACCTTGCTGACAACGCTTAGGAGCGAGATTGGCCTATAATTGGTGACATCTGCACGAGAGGCTTTCTTGTGTAGAGGACTGATAGTGGCGTCGCGCCAGTCCTGTGGCTGCTCGCCTCGCGATAAGGACTCATTGAAACGTGTTGCGAGGGAGCACGATATTTCGTCTGCAGTGATCTTGAGTAATTTCGTCGGGATGCCATCGTACCCAGCCGACTTCCGGAAATCAAGAGCGGAAAGGAGTTTTCTGACCTCCTCCTGTGTGGTGATGATTTCCTTCAGTTCGCTTCCGATGATGAGCGACACGCCAATCTCTGGCACGGCTTCAGTTGCTCCGGAGACGGACTTCTGGCTTTCCGAAATGAAAAAAATTGTTAAACGCTTCCGCCTTTTCTCTATCTGATCTAGCCACTGTTTCGTTCGCTGAAATAGGTGGAAGCTCCTTTTTCGGGGACGACCGCAGTGATTTCATTAACTTGTACAGGTTTCGCTGCGGGATACCAGTTACGTCGCCTTGCGCGGTAGTGGATACGAAGGCGGATTTAGCTTCTCTCAGTTGTGTTGTGGTCCTATTGCGTTGAGTAACGAACATGAGCCAGTTCTCGGCGCTGCGAGTTCTGAGATACTGACGGTAGAGCTGATGCTTGAGTTTAATGCTGCAAAGAAGCTGCTGAGTCATCCATGGTCGCCGACCTGGGCATGTCTGGTGTGTACGTCGTGGTGCGAACTAATACTACTAGTACAGTACAAGTGTGCTGTGTTGATAAGCGAGTCATGCCAATGCGACCAGAGGTCTGTCATTGATAACTGCGGGATTTCCTCAGCTGGTGGCAAAAGCTGCATTGAGCTCAGGGCTTCTTTCAGTGCGACGACGCGATCAGGGTCCCAGTTCCAGCGCCAAGCTTCGACGTTTTGCTGGGGTGTTGGTGCTTGTGGTGGGCATGCAAGGGACAAGATCAATAAAAGGGGAAGCTATGCGAACAAGAATCATGCACTGAAACCGAACGCCTCAGTAAAACACCACGGTACTTCGACTATGACAATTAAGCAGCAGTAGCAAGCAGCACTTTCATACGACGATCGTTTCGCCGTATAGATAAGGACGGCTCATCAGGTGTGCAAGAATGGACTCGGATGGAGAGCCAAGGATAAATTTATACCGGTAGAAAAGGACCAAAGAACTACAACGGTTACACTATAATGTCCACTAACACCACCAGTTACTAAACAATCAGCTCATGCGATAACATTGCACGACACTGACCAACGGTACTGACGTTCTACACCTACATGTAACTGGCGCAATCCGCTCCAACACAACTTGGACGCACACTCCAACAGCCTTCCAACTTGGAAGGTTCTAAGTTATAATGGGGAAGGTGAGCGCAACCAAGACAAGCATGAGCTGAAAGTCTCAGCTGTGAAGGACGTTGGCGGATGTTCCTGCAAGTCGATGACGATACTGGTAAGACCATTGGACAATGCGGTCAAACCACGATTCCAGGACGCAAAGCAACATTCCACACAATTATTTGTGTGGCTCAAAGATGCGAAGCTATGCGAACAAGAATCATGCAAACCCGAACGCCTCAGTAAAACTAAAACAGCTTTGGCGAAGTACTGTACTGCACTTGCATTAGCGTCTCACGCTGCATACTTAGCACCCATTCGAAAATCCGCCGACTCACGCTGTGCATACTAAACGCAAAATAAGCATGAAATCATTCGCATGCGCTCCTCAGAAACACTGGCTGTGTACGTGTACTGGTGTACCACACTCCACAGTACTTGTATAGTACTCGACTACTCGGCCAGGGATCAGGGAGTGGTGCTTTCTGGCAGGTTTGCCGAGTCGAAGGTTTGCTGATCATCTGGTGTGCTCTGGATGGCAGTCGTGACCGTCAGTCAAGTCAAGGCGGCAGGAAAAGCGTGAGCTCCAGCGTGAGCTCCAGCGTGAGCTCCAGCGTGAGCTCCAGCGTGAGCTCCAGCGTGAGCTCCAGCGTGAGCTCCAGCGTGTCCAGCGTGAGCTCCAGCGTGAGCTCCAGCGTGAGCTCCAGCGTGAGCTCCAGCGTGAGCTCCAGCGTGAGCTCCAGCGTGTCCGGCGTGAGCTCCAGCGTGAGCTCCAGCGTGAGCTCCAGCGTGAGCTCCAGCGTGAGCTCCAGCGTGAGCTCCAGCGTGAGCTCCAGCGTGAGCTCCAGCGTGAGCTCCAGCGTGGGAAGCACACAACTACATGTACAGTGTAGTTACTTCCTGATCGAGATTATCGCCAAGGTGTGTGTGTGTGTGTTTGTGTGTGTGTGTGTGCGTGTGTGTGTGTGCGTGCGTGTGTGTGTGTGACCAATGTCACACACAGTGACACACACCTAGGACTAGTAGGAGTCCTAGGTCAAGGCTGTAGTGTAGGGTCTTTGCAAGGAGACCCACGCGACCAGTTATGGCAGTGAGCAAGTACAAGTGTGTCTGTGTCACTGTGTGTGTATGTGTGTGTGTGTGTGTGTGTGTGTGTGTGTGTGTATGTGTGTGTGTGTGTGTGTGTGTGTGTGAGGTGTGTGTGTGTGTCTGTGTACTAGTTGCTATGTCTAACATAGCAGTTCGCTATCATTCGCTTCTGCAATGGGCAGGTGTGAGGTGTGGTGTATGTGTGTGCGTGTGTGTGTGTGTGGTGTGTGTGTGTGTGGTGTGTGTGTGTGTGGTGTGTGTGTGTGTGTGTGTGTGTGTGTGTGTGTGTGTGTGTGTGTGTGTGTGTGTGTGTGTGTGTGTGTGTGTGTGTGTGTGTGTGTGTGTGTGTGTGTGTAGCTGTATGGTGTAGACCAGGCTGAATAGTGACGGTCAATTCTTCAGCCTTGCAAGCTGTTGAATGGTGCAATCCCAGCACAAGTTGCTATGGCTTCTGCCGTAGCATTGCTATCAAGTATCATCGCCTCCGGCGATGGGCGTCAAAGGTCAAAGGTGTGTGTGCGTGTGTGTGTGTGTGTGTGTGTGTGTGTGTGTGGTGCGTGCCCGCTATGCTCTCTTGTCCGCACAAGCAGCAGCATTGGGCTGTTGAGGCTTGTGAGAAATGAGGATTATCCCAGATACTTTTCGATTCTTCAGAACTCGGACTCATTGGCTAGCGTAAATAATTTAAAATTATTAAATTTTTTATTGTTTGCCCATGGCCGGGACGGGAGCTTCGATCGAGCATTGACGAGCAAGCTTTGATTATAAGTTAATTAATATAACCACCATTCATCAAGATGCTGAGTCAGTTTTAGCTACTACTCGAGCTCTAGCGCTCCTACTCAGGCTACTGTCCTAGTCCTCCGTTACTAACGGGACTTACGGATGTTGAACATTCCTGTGTCGATCCTACAGATAACAACACACTGCATACACTGAACACATACCGATGCATGCATTCCCAAAAATGAAAAAGCTCGACCCATCCTATGATTCGTATGAATCGGTTTGCGCGCGCAAACAGTGAAATCCCCAAAAAGTCTAAAAATGAAATGTATGAATCGGTTTGCGCGCGCAAACAGTGAAATCCCCAAAAAGTCTAAAAATGAAATGAATGATCCCCGGCCATGCTACGCATGCACGTACGCGTAGAGTCTACTACTAGTCATGTACATGTACATGTGTCATGTAGATATGGTACCAGGCACGCAGTGCACAACCCTCACGCAACTAAAAATGCCGCTTGAAGTAAGTTAGTTAGTTGAAGTGGAAGCGCTTTAAGTTTAAGCAGCTTCTCCTTTTCGAAATCCGATGTTGTGACATGGGCATGGGGGATTATCGATTATGGCTGCTAGTGATATGCATATTCAGGCAGCATTAATTATATTATGCGCATTGTTGATTCTCCTCCTATCCGCCTGCACGAACAGACGTCGTGGCCACCTGCGCCACATGTACATATGATTGTATCGGTACATGTAGCTGCACATGTAACTGGGCGGTATGGCAGTCCACGTGGTGCTAGTGTTGGGTGCAGAACAAGACCATGAAGACCGTACTAGCTAGACTGGGAAACGACGTCGTGAATGCAAGCATGACTTCCGCGGCCTGGCTCCCCAAACGGCCAGATTTGGACAAAGAGAACTGCGCTAGGTCGCGTCTCGTGGATCATGCATGCATGGACCATGTGATGGCCCCTGAAAGTCGATCGTGTGTGCGCGATCGGGCGTTATAAAAAACAAAATACATGTACCTAGTACCTGCAATTGCGCAAGGCTGCATGCTGGCACACGAAACACAGCCAAGATTGACAAGAATATTGTCAAAACTACCAAAGCCAATGGCAAGGTCCTACTACTACTACTAGATGCACAAAGAAGATGTTCTCAGTTGAGTTCTTGTAGGTCCTGCAAACGAGTCACTTTCGACGTTTCGTACTACCAAGAGTCCATAAGTAAGGCATAACCCCCCTACGCGGCTACTTCCTGCGCTCTACGTTGTACTGTGTGGCAGAGCCAGAGGTCGCGCGATCGAAGCTGCGCAGTGCAGTGAGTCGCGGTGCATTGTCGACCTGCACTCGCGCATTTGTCGCCTTCTACTTCACTAGTTTCAGCATCAGGCTCTGGTGAGGTCAGCTTGACCCAGGCCAGGTCAGGACTCAGGACCTGACAGCTCGCGTAGCATTTTCCAAGATCTTCAGTGAAACCCTGGACCGATGCAATACTCCACCATGCCAGAGAAACAGGCATCCGATCCCGACCTGAAATTGACTTCGAAGACGAGCAAGGATGTCGTCAAGCAACTTCCGTTCAGTCGTAAGTGAAGTGGTGTGGCCCTGTTAGTGTCACTCTACTCTCTTTTCATCGGCATAGTCTTGTGCGAGCACTTGTGGTGTTGGGATGTAGCCTGTATACTTGTAGTGACCTCAAACTAGTCAAAGTCTGTCTGTGCGAGCGTCGATGCAGCTCCGATGGCTGTTCCGGGTGCAGCTCGGAGGCGGCATACAGATGCCTTATGTCGTTATGACTATGAGTGTGTTATGTACGCTGCACACCCTAGCTACACTGACTGTGTGACTTTGATTTTGTTCTTCCTGTACACGTGTGATGTGCATACAGTCATACGGCTCGTACTCACCCATTGCGTTCATTGTGTTGCGCTTTCGCGCCTCGACATCAAACTCAAAGAGCTCCTTTCAAATCTGCGACTTGTGAAGTATGGTATAGCATAGGCAGGGTATGTCCTAGATCAGTATTGTTGCGCTTATCATCGTGCATCGCCTTACGTGAGCTACTTGTGGCACCTTGTGGTTGTTCTAAACACAAGGACTTCGTAGATCTACTCGTAGTACAGTAGGCCTAGGTCTTCGACCATTTCTGCAAGGACATAGTTAGTTTTCGCGCCATAACATATTAACGCACAGCACTCACACAGTCACTGCATGCATGCACTGCATGCACTGGTGCGCATGGCTATCATCATGATCTTCTAGTTTCCTCACGTGCCGCACAAGCGGATACACTGCAAATGCCTGGTCACGGCTGTTACGCAGTGGACATCTAACAAGATGGCGGCGAAAAGTTTGAAATCGCTGCGGATTTACTGAAATCCTTTCGACTTAGTACAAAATGTATAGAATTATATAATTTCACCGGATTTAGTACTTTCTTTCGGTAAAGTCGGTCTAAACCCAAATATTTTTTGAAACGACAAGGAAGTAAGAACAGAAGTCTTGCTGTCGAAAACATCAAGAAGAAGAATTATTATTGGAGGAAGTAGAAGTGAACAGTTAGACCTTACCTCTCTGGCTTTGCGTGTAGTCAGTGTTATGGCGGACTGGCTGGTTGATCTGCCTGCGATGGAGCAGTCCGCTGCCTCGATCGAACTTTGGGCCGTTGATCTGCAACGTCTGGCAGGGTGCATACGAGGTGTTGTTCTGCAACAGCATGCAGGCGCTCAAGCTCGCCGGGAATGGAACCGTATCTCTTCTCGAGCAGGTTGAACTCGGCGTGGATTCCTTCCGCGCCCTGTTCCGACAGTAGACCAAGCCCGACGTGCACTCTCCGCATCAGCGGCACAGTGTGTTCCTCAAGGAGGTGCAGCTTTGGAGTGATGTGACCTAAGCCTCTCTCCACCACCTCGCTCCGACATTTCTGTAAGAACGAGGCAATGGAGAGCTCCAATTGCTGCAGTTCCTCCTCTCCACATTTGTTGCAATGGCTGAAGGAAGATCTGCACGCTGCGTACTGGCTGAACAGGGACTTGTACCGCTCACTGACTACTTGAGCGTCATTCCGCAGAGCTGGGCACCGATCTCCAATGACAATTGCTGGGGCCTCAGTGATAGCTGTGATCACGGTGGGCTTGAGGGCACGGTGGATATGGTTCCCTACGAAAGCACCGCCGTGATAGGCCTGCCGATGGATAATGTTCTTCTGCAGTACTGGCTCTATGGACGCTTCGCACGGGCCGAGAACATCCTTGCTGCGGCGCAACTTGGCCAGTTCGTCTTCAGCAATCTTCAGCTGCGAGCTACACTGCTCTGTGTCGGCCTGTGCTTGCTCAACCTCCCGTTGTAGCACGCCTGCGAGTGCTTCTATCGCCATGCCCTGTTGCTGGCCAAACAAGACGATGAAGTGCAGATGATTCTCCAGAGCGGTGGCTTTCGCTGTTGCTTCCGAGAACGCTGTTTTGCAGCCAGACAACTTGTGATTTGCAGTTGACAAGGCTCTAAACCGTCCACTGTCTTGCTCTTCAGCGTCGCATTGTTCTGCAAGCTGCATGTCCAGAAGACGGACCTCGCGTGTGAATACATCAAAGATCCACGGGAATACACCGAGGTCTAGGTGCAGCACTGGAATAATGGCGCTCGCAACGGGCACTGGCAATAGGACTGGTCGGATGGTGTTGTTATACAGCTTTGCCTTTGACAGCAGAGCACCTGCGCTAGTAAACTGTGCATAGTCCTCCGCCATCTTCTCTAAGGACCGTGCTCCATACTGTACGTCGCGGTTCGCTGGTGGGACCTGCATGTCTTTCTTCGTGCACAAGCAATGGAGGCAAGGCCTTACGCCACTGGAACCCGACAAGCCGTAGTTCATGGTTTGGTACTCGTAATCACCAAACAGATAAGGCACAATGGTCTTGCCTTTCCATTTCTGGCCCTGTAGCTCTGCAATTTGGTTCCGATACATTGAGAGTGCAGTTTCCAGGTTTCGGCAAGTCCTTCTCTGCAAACACGCAGATTGGCACAGTGTTGGCGAGTGAGTTTGGATGCATGGTGTTGGCGATTTGCATCACGAATTTAAATGTTGTCTTACCATGGTCACCGCCCAGCTTGACCCATATCTCCGTTTCTGGGATGGCGCCATCATGCCATGTCAGCTTACTGCCGCTGTCAAGTATGTCGAGGTAGTGGATAATGATGTCGGTTAGGTTTGGAAAGTAGACAGCTGCAGCAAGTGACAACTCGCCAGTCCGCTTGACAAAGGGGAGCTGCTTCACTGTGTATTTCGGCAAGGTGGTGGCTATGAATGAGCGAATGCTTCTCTCCGATTCAAGCTGAACTCCGAAGGAGCGGAGCCATCTGCGCAGCTTCCGGAGTTGCGCCCAAGGAAGGCTTAGATCGGCCTTGATGGCAAGGGCAGTGCCTGAAGGTGGTTTGATGCTGGTAGCGCCAAGTCCAGCAACGCCATGCCGTGTTGCATCTGCTGTGGTGCAAACTGTCTCTGTGATGCGCTCCATTTCCAGTGACCGTCGTTTCAGCGTCCTGGCTGATGCCTCCTCCGGCTGCTTGCTGCCAACTGTTGTTCGCATGAAAACTTGCGGTCTTCCTTGGCTGCTGGTTTTCACTTCCAGCCTCCCATCTTCTGCTTTGGCGGACACAAGGTGACAGGTCAGTCTGTCACTCACATCGCCCCGTAGCTTTGATGGTGACGCTGCTAAGATCTCCTCCACTGTTGCAGCTTTGGTTGCAGTACGAATGGGCGTTCCTGAGGATGTGGATGGATTGAACGGACATGATGTGACATGACCTCGTAATTCATGGAGGCGAACGGTTGCTGGGCAACCCGACAATGCTGGTTCATGGAAGTCACAATGTACACCCCACTTGCTAACCATATTGCACACTAGCTTGCATGGCTTTTGCAGTGTCGCCAGTGCCATTGGCTGTCTGCATACTGGACATGTATTGTGACTCTTCATCCACGTGTGCACGCATGTTGAGCAGAATATATTTTGACAGCATTTGGCTTGAACTGCTCCATTTACCACTTGCAAACATATCATGCATTCCTGCACAGCTCCACTGTCAATAAACCGCTCTTTCTCTAATGCTGCTTCAGCCCGATACATAGGCGCTGTGTGCGCCGAAATCTCGTCCAAAGTAACTGCGGATGTTTGACTATCAGTGGTGTGTGCTATTGTGTTGGTGTCACCGCTGCTACTGCTGCTGGTGCGTCTTTGCTGAGAGCTAGGACTGCCTTCTGGCAGTTCAGCTGATGTTGATGCCGTTGGTGTCTGTCGTTTTGCCGCTTGGCCACGCAGTTCACTGACGGCTTTCCGTTTCGGTGGACGGCCGCCCTTGGCTCGTACAGCATCACTCTTACATACGGCACAGTTAGATCTCGTATGTGGTTGCCATGTAACTGGACCATTGCAGCCCCCACTACAATACTTATATGTGTCATCTCTCATTGAACGTGCAATAGCAAATTGACAAAGTGAGCACATGTACTGGGGATGCACGTCAGGGGAATCTTTGGAAACATCAATTTTAAAAACTTTGGCGATCTCTTCAACATAATTCTTCACCGGATATGGAGTTTTGTGACTAGCACTGGCAAGTTTTTGGCCACCAATGCGACACACGGATTCAAGAATACTCGAGTGGTGCTCCATCGCAGAGCAGAAAGCAACAAACAAGGCTAAAATGTCGATGCGCGATCGAGACTTCCTTTGCGCGATCTGGGACAAGAGCGCGATTTTCGAGCTATAGAAGGTCTCTAGGGCCACCAAAAACACAGCAAGCAGCTGCGAAAACTCGGCGCCGGGATGTAGGCAGCAATGAAAGTAGAGCAGTTTTGGGAATCGAAAGAACAAAGGACGTGGAGGCGACGTGGCGACAGAAACCTGTCGCCTCTTGGGAAAGACGATCCAAAAGGCATCAATGCGTTCCTTGAAGCTTCCCCTGGACGAAAATCGCGGTTGTATGGTAAACCGTGTCGATGGGAGACGATAGGAGCCAAAATAGCCTGGATACGAACGTGAAAAATGCAATTCTCAGCTATTCTCTGGGGGCCGTCGCGTTCAAAAATTCAAAAAGTTTCAAAAAAACGACGCCATTTTGAATGTCCGATTTTGTGATCTACGTTAACAGCCGTGTGGTATGGTACATGTTGTGGTACATGTCGCAGTCGAAACGACCAAAATGAAAGCCATGCCAAGTACAACTAAAACTAGTAAAAGGCGACTATGAAACGACTAGATCTGTACTGACTCTGTTCTAGCCGTAGACAACGGTAGACAAAATGCTTGTCGTGGCATGAGAGTATCTTAGCTCAGAGTGGGATCAACTAAAGGAATTAGTTACTTCACGGAGCTGAACCTAGACGTACAGCAGAACACATCTTGCGAAGACATTTTTGCCATTATCTCTCCAAGACCATGCGTTAACTCTCGCAGTAAACCGCTGGATGATGAGTGTGGACAAGGGCGAGTATTGCGGGGTTGTACTCGTGGACATGAGCAAGGCCTTCGATCGGGTACGCCATGAACTACTACTTAACGAGCTTCAAGCTATTGGCATAAGCGGAGTAGCACTACAGTGGTTCTCCAGCTATCTCCAGGGTCGACGACAACAGGTGAAAATTGGAAATAACAGAGGAGACGAGACACATTGTACACGAGGCGTTCCGCAAGGGTCGGTGCTAGGGCCTCTGTTATTCTCTTTGTACGTGCGACATGTCCCTGGAGTACTTCGCCACGCAGAGTCCCAACAGTATGCTGACGATATCGCCTTTTATATACACTGTCAGTCTACTGGAGAACTTCAGCACAAGTTGACAAGTGAGTTGAACAGACTAAATACGTTCCTTGGAAGCATTGGTCTCATCTTGAATGCCCAGAAAACGAAGTTCATGGTGCTTCGGAAGAAGGCTCTGCCTCTTCCGCCGGATCTTACCATTGCATGCGGTGGTGTCGATATTCGACCTTCTGCCACAGCGCGTTATCTTGGCCTCATTATTGACCAACACCTCACCTTTGAGGATCAAGTCAACCATGTGTGTACATCTGTTTATAAGAAGATAGGAGCATTCCGCCGCTGCCGCCGTACAGTAGATCACACAACTAAGCGAATATTTTATTTATCCCTCATCCAATCCACTATTGAATACGCCAGCAACTCGTATGCTCACTGTCTTACACCATCTTTATACTCTCGCCTTGTTACTTTAAGTCATATCAGCATGAAACAGGTTTTTGGTCTCCCTCGCCGTACCCCGACTGTCTTTGTTTTGCGGCACGCTAAGTTATACTCCCTCGAATCTCGTCTCAACTTGAGGCTTTTTATTTTTGTTTTCCGCTGTATTCATCAGCTTACAAGTCCTCTTCTTTCCTCAATGTTCACCCTCCAGTCGGCTGCTACTTGCACCGAGAGGCGCACTAGAGGGCAATCATTCTCTTCACTTTCTTTGCCCGCTGCTACCACTAGATATGGCATGTTCTCCATTTCTTTCCTTGGCGCTGATAGGTGGAATTCTCTGCCTGTCTCGTGTCGTCAGGTTGAGCATCTATCCGTTTTTGTTTCGCTCTGTAAAGAGCACTTAGGGTTCCCTGTAACAAGACGGCAACGTCTGTAGGGCCTTCCCTATCAAAATAATAAATTCTACTACTACTACTACTACTACCAACCGGCATCATCAGTAGCTGACACCTATCACCTTGCCTAGTGCAGTGTACTGTGTAGTCTGTAGTGCCTTCACGGCTTCAAAGATGTGCACCGCGATGTACGTGTACCCAAAGAATGCCGAGCCACTGCAGTACACTTGGTGCACGATGTTGTAGGTAGATTCTACGATTTCCGGTACTTCTTTGACCCTTTGTTTGGGTCGGCGCGGTGAGACGATGCGGAAGTGACCGTAGATCTACGTCCCACTCAGAAACTCGCTTTCAAAGGCGTACAAAATTATAGGCCCAGTAAATTAGCATGGTTAGGGGAGGGGTGGAGGAGTGACCACAGCATTGCTTGTTGGGATGTCGGAGGTGGATAGTGAATATTACAAAAACGTGGCAGCGACCAGAAGAAGTCCAGCTTCTGAAAACGTATTCCCTGACTAGTCATTAGTTGCCACTGGTTGTCACAACTCATCATGTTTCATGGTTGTAGCACCAGCGATTCAGGTGCTCCAGCCAAATAGGATACTTGACCGGAAATGAACAGTTTGACGGAAAGTGGCCCGTTATGCACGAATTGGGTGGGTCAAATTGAAATACGGTCCCGGCCGGTGCTACGGTCCTATGTGTCGTCGTTGTCTTCGGTTGCCATGGCATGGGAGCAGGCTAGAGTAGTGTGTTCTCTGCCGTCTGCCAGACATATTGCCACAACATGAATGTACATTGGCCAAAAGAAACCCTGCCGTCCCCTTTGCTCCCCGTCCAGATCCATATATGTGTAACGTATCAAGCTGGGCTGCATGCATGCTAGCACAATACGCGCTTTACTGTAAAAGCAGAAATTCCCTTTGCTCCCCGTCCAGATCCATATATGTGTAACGTATCAAGCTGGGCTGCATGCATGCTAGCACAATACGCGCTTTACTGTAAAAGCAGAAATTTTCGGTGGTGTAATATTTTCGGTATTCTCCAAAATCGGCGGTTCGGTAGAGGGAAAATTTCGGTAAAACCCGTTCTCCAGGTAAGTGTACTAGTACTACATGTATACAGTATCGGTAGTACCGCAATTTTCGGTGCGTTTATTTTCGGTAAAAATTGTCGGCACCGAAGTTACCGAAAATAAAACACCACCGAAAATTTCTGCTTTTACAGTACAGTTGAACATCGATTATCCGCACATCGACCATCCGACCATTCGATTATCCGTAACAGTTTTTTTAGGCGCACGTGCCGTAGAGTACGCACTGTGCATGTAGTGGGCCATTAAAAAAAATACGAAAATTTTGAAAAGTAAAAAGTAAAAAGGTCGTGCGGCTAGTAATAACCACTGAAAGTGTGTGAGTGACAGTTTTTCTTATCCGGAACATTTGCCTTATCTGAACACCGCCTGACAGTTGTCTGCCCAGAGGTGGTCGGATAATTGATGTTCAACTGTACTACAAAGTACTTGTTTGTGTAGCCGCGTAGCGCAGGGATTGGATCTCTCTCTCTCTCTCTCTCTCTCTCTCTCTCCTTGCAAACAAACGTTACACATCAGCCGGGTACCACAGGCTGGCCACTACGGCCTAAACATGATTTCTTCCTTGACCATGGTCATGTTGCAATGTGCATGTCGCAGTGAGAAGTGTCATCTTTGTCAAAGTACGAGTCAAACTGTTTAGGGTAAACTGATTGAGTGGTGTACAGAAGCAAACATGGCCGCTAATGATACTGCTGCATCTCCTATATGTGAACTGAATGAATTGCTGTCGCCTGCCGCCCGTCTCTCTCTCTCTCTCTCTCTCTCTCTGCAGAACTGGACACAAGAGCGAGGGCGAAGCGCATTCTCTATGACTACTTCTTTATGCTGGTATTGTTCATCGGCTTTCTCTACCTCTTCATCTGTGCTCTGTCCATCATGGGCTCGGCGTTTCAGCTCCTAGGAGGAAAGGACGCTGGCAAATCGTTGTCGAACAACAAGTTGTTTGACAACCCGATAGCTGGTCTAGTCCTGGGTGTGCTGGCTACTGTCTTGCTGCAAAGCTCATCCACCACCACCTCCATTGTCATCACCATGACTGCCGCAGACTGTAAGTCGACATGCAAAGAGTGTTTATTTACCGTAAAAGTCCGTAAATAAGTACTTCGAAGTACGTACTTTAATACTTTCGAATTTAGTGGTCACACCCGTACTAACTTTCCATAGGGTCAGGGTTAGAGGGCTTACGTTTCATCTCACCAATCTGTATTTATTTCACGAGTTGTAAGTTACCACTTTTGCTGAAGATGTAACATCCTCGTACTACGGTGCACGTTTTGGACATTTGTGAACATACAGTTGTCTGATCATGTAGTTCGAGACGTTACGCGCACTTACAAATGTAGGTGTTTGAAAGTGAACAGTTCAACACTAACTGAATGGATATTTCTCTTGCTGTTCTTCCTGATTTCTACAGTGTTGCAAGTGAAGCAAGCTATCTACCTGATCATGGGTGCGAATATTGGCACGTCCGTCACCAACACCATTGTGGCACTGGGACAGATCAAGGACAGGAACGAGTTTGAACTGGCCTTTGCTGGCGCTACCATACACGACATGTTCAACTTCCTCTCCGTGTGCGTTCTATTGCCTCTAGAAGCTGCCAGTGGATACTTGAAGGCCTTGACGGGCGCTCTTGTCGACTCCTGGCACTTGGTGACGGACAAGAGCCAGAAGAAAGACTTGCTCAAGAAGCTCACGAACCCACTGACGAAAAAGATTGTACAGATCGACAAGAAACCCATTGAGAAGATTGCAAAGGGCGAGCTATCTGTGTCCGAGGCCAGTTTGCTGAAGAAGTACTGTGACAAGGTAACGTACACGAGTTTTGATTGCCCGGTGAAGGATGGCACACTGATGAACACAACTGCTAATGCTACAACAGCTGCTGCCACTACTGCAGTGGCGTCGACCACCACAATCACGAGCTCAGGCATGACGACCAGCAGCATCGCAATGGCGAACATGACGGAGGGGCTTGGGAACGACACGCTTGGTGATATCGTCAGCAATGTGACCTGCGAGAAAACGAGGAATATCCCGTGCGATTATCTCTTCTACAACTCCTCCCTTTCGGAGTCAGTTATTGGCGCTATCTTGTTGGTCTGCTCGTTGGCGGTGCTGTGTATTTCCCTGGTCTTCATGGTTCGCATCCTCACACGCTTGCTGCACGGTCGTCTAGCTGAATCCGTGCGGAAGTTTGTCAATGCCGATTTCCCCGGCAGGGCCAAGTACTTCACTGGCTACCTGGCCATACTGATTGGAGCTGGTCTGACCATCCTGGTGCAGTCAAGCTCCGTATTCACCTCTGCTGTCACGCCACTGGTGGGAATAGGCATCATCGACCTGGAACGCATGTACCCACTGACGCTGGGTGCCAATATCGGCACCACTGTCACTGGCATTCTGGCCGCGCTGGCCAGTAGCAATGTTGTGCCAGCCATGCAGGTCAGTTCACATTGCACTATGGGTTCTGCTGTTTTTTTTTTTTTTTGGGGGGGGGGGAGGCTTCTTGATGAAGCTGCTCCACTCTGGTTTGTTGAATTGCCATGATCTAAATTCCTCTTAGACATGATTGCTAGTATTGTAAGGTGGCCATTCTGACCAAGCTATTCCCCAGCAGCCACAAAAGTTCCATTCTGACCAAGCTATTCACCAGCAGCCACATAGTTCCATTCTGACCAAACCTTTCCTGGTTTGCTCAGTGTGGACTGCCAATGGGCTCTTGTCTGAGATTGAACACGGATGAGGGATGACTCTCGGCGTATAGCCCTTCCGCCTGTTGCACACACTGCACTAGGTCACTAGCAGCATGGAGCACAGCATATTGTCAAATGTGGATATCCAAGCCTGCCTGCCTATAATGGAATCACTAACTACGACAACCAGCCACGTTTGTCATTACAAGAGAGGTTAACGTAAAAACTTTTCTAAAAGTAAAGCTAGGAGAGTGCAAAAACAGTCATTGTTCAACGAAAGGCCGATGTGCAATACTGGCTGGATCATCTTCCATTGGCTGTATCAGTCCTGTTGGGAGTGCTATGAGTCTGATAATTATCGATGCACTTTCCTATTTGTAGATTGATTGATCTGTCAAACACTTCCTCAGTTTTCAGTACAATCTGGCCATATTAAAGTTGGTCCCCGTTTACAACTTATTACGAAATGGGTCATTCTTGCTTGAACTTGTGCTGGTATAGTGTTGTCCGATGTTGATAGGAATTTATGGACGTTCTTCCTCTGCTGTGCAGGTCGCAATGGCTCATTTATTCTTCAACCTGAGCGGCATTCTCATCTGGTACGTTGTGCCAGTCATGCGAAAGCCGCCAATCGCTGCGGCAAAGTTCCTCGGCCGAACGACGAGCAAGTACCGGTGGTTTGCCGTCGCGTACGTGGCCGTTGCCTTCTTCCTCGTTCCGCTGACAATCTTTGGCTTGTCGCTGGCTGGCTGGCAGGTGCTAGTTGGCGTGGGAGTGCCCGTACTGCTGCTTATCGCTGCCATTGTCGTCTTGAAAGTGCTGCAGATCAAGAGACAGGAAGTGCTGCCGGAAAAGCTGCAGACTATGAAGTTCCTGCCTGTCTGGATGCGCTCATTGGAACCAATCGACAAGCTCTTCAAGCTTCTGAAGAACGCCATTCCCTGCTGCCAAAGCAACTCGCCCGACCTGGAGCCGATGAGCGCCACAAGGAACGATGCTTATCACAGCCCGGCGGAGATTAAGGATGGAAGACCGCCCTTCAACGAGTCACCAGTGTAAGAACTTTGCGAGTTGTTTTGTGCTGTGGATTCTGCTAGCGACAGATGGAACAGCCAGGAACGCAGCAACAGCCTGCGCCCAATCCATCATTATATTTATTGGACCAAGACTTTTAAACTGGCTGGTGACATGCCACCAAAGTCGCTTGTGGGTCTCGCCGTACCTGCGCAGGCTTTGTTTACTTCGTCGTAACAACACAAAGCCTGATTTTACTCCGCTTGTTGAACAGAAAGTCACTCGATGACTGCACCCAGCTCTCATCAATCGTTGCTCTTGTCACCATGTTTGTTGGCAGCAAACTGGGCGAACCTAAAGAACAAGGACTATAACGTTTTGTGAAGTTATCTCTTCAACTGTGTGTTGAAGTGTTGAGTTGCAGATACAGCAAAAAGCCACTGTGCTAGAAACATCATCTTTTTTGCTTTGTTGCCCATTCCGTACCTACTTTGAAGTATCTACAAACCTTTGTATATGGCAAGCTTCTTATTAACTTCTTATATCTATGTAGCACAATATTATTTATTGGTGTGCGCATGGTATCCTTGATGAAGGTGCTGGTGTTGAGACCCTATCGCCTTGGTGTTGCAATTCTGTACATGTACCACGCTGTGCTACACTGTACTAATAGCTACACGTATCTCTGATCAGTGAAGTAATGACTATGTCCCAAACTAGGAACCCTATATCAGGCTATTTGCACAGCTTAGGACTAGCTGTGTAACAGTCCAAAACCCTTCAGTGCTGTTCGCTTGTGACCTAGTACTAGTATTCCACGTATATAATTATTTAGGCTGTGCTCCATTTGCCCCGTTGGGTGCATTATTTACTCGTTTTTCAACGGCTTTTCACTCTTTTTTGAACAGACCATACTGTATCATAATAATGCTCTGCTCTGTGTGCTGTTGGTGAGGTCGAGGTCTTCTGCATGTGTGTGTGTGTGTGTGGGGGGGGGGGGGGGCTGTATGAAAAGCTGTGTGTGAATGTGGGGGCTATAGGCTTCATATCAGGGCTAGAGGTGTTATTTTACGCAGGAGGCTGCGTGCAGAGTGTGTGGTTGCTGTAGGCAGGGGCTGTAGAGGCAGTGACAGGGCTAGCAATGCAATGTTAGCAGCGCAGTAGCAGCAAACAAGCCTTGATTGCCCTTGTTCTGTTTCAATGCATATATGCAGTGTGCCTTTATTGGAGACAATCATGCCTATATGGGAGACGTGCTTTTATTAGAGAAAATACGGGTACAGTCAAACCTTGTTAGGACGAACACTGATAAGGCGGACTTACCTTTAGTGCGAACTAGGGCCAATCCTATGGCTGGCCAGGCATCATATCTAGTCAAAATTATTCGTTTACGTATGGCGAACTTTCGTGAAGACGAACTAATTTCAAGCGGGATTTGAACAAAATCAGCGTGTAGTATGAACTTTCAGTCCCGGTGGGTGCGCTGGCTGTAATTTTCCCGCTAGTCGAGGCCTCTTGTAGTGGCAAAACATGTTACAAGGTGGATGTAATGCTGTCATGAATTCCTTACACATTGTACTTACCTGTTGCTGGGTTATGTTATGAAAAAAATGTTTTACATTTGCCACAGCACGCACCTTCACATAAATACAATCCATATGATACGCATATCAATTGTTTTGTCAGATTTGGATAAGAAAAACTCCCGATAAGACCAACAAACTTGTTCGGTCCCTTGAAGTTCGTCTTAACGAGGTTTGACTGCACTTCGTTTGCACACACAGTTCAGGTTTCAGCTTGGCAATGTACACCGCCTCCAGCACAGCAAGATGAGATTTGTAGAAGTGAACGGCTGCGTCTCTGCAACAACACTCTGCAACAAACGGCTGATACAGGATCGACATGTGGAACAGTGTGTGACCGACCCCTCGCCTGGCAGAGAAGATGCCAGCGGCACAACTGTCCTGCATTATAGCAACTGCACGAACGGACCACCGGACACTGACGATAATGAGAAGGGCTCGGCAATATTCCGTTACTTTACATCGTCACCGGCCTGCCTGAGTGCAGTCTACAAACATAGCGCTCACTCTCACTTCACTATTGAAGCGTGTGCGCACAACACATCTCACCTTGCTGTGCTGGAGGCGGTGTACATTGCCAAGCCGAAGCCTGAACTGTGTGTGCAAAAGAAATACCTGAGCGGAACACAGCAATCAACATGCCCGCACTGAGATCCCTAGCAGCGCTTTTCTTCTCGAAAGCTCCTGCTTCATTCACATCAGGCCGCGTGTTGATCTCTCATCAGATTTATTTCAGGTCATCTGCAATGCCAGCGCAGCTGTACACGTGTGCTAAAATAGTAAATACCAGAATGTAATGCATGTGCTGCGACCTACTGCTCTGCTCCAGCAATGCTGCGACCTACTGCTCTGCTGCAGCAATGCTGCGACCTACTGCTCTGCTCCAGCAATGCTGCGACCTACTGCTCTGCTCCAGCAATGAGCGTTCACTGACAATATCTCAACCAACACTAAAGACGTAGCTTGTAGCTTGACTAATCCTTCGGGTACAGTGCAGCAATTTCGGGATTGGCAGCGAGCCACTCTGGCGTTCTGTGCTTCTTTCTCCTGACAAATATATCCCCTGTGCAGATAATGCAAACACAACCATCCAAAGAAAGATATGAGCATATCACCGGGTTATACACAAAATATGGGGATTGGCCCATGACTGTTTACATGTACTTCATTTTCAAATACAAATTCTTGCCATGGAGACCTGTCTTTAATAGAAAAAATTAAAACTACACATGAGAACACACCAACTCTTGGACAAGAGGGAGGGGGAGAGGCAGGGTGCAACAAAGAATCGGACTTGTGATGGCGTCGAACACGGCCAAGCAGTTGCACACAAAACCACTTCTGGGTCAACTTGGACTCACTCATCGGTAGCCAGGTATCACTTGTCGAGTGTAGAAAATGTAATGGTGGCCAGTTCCCCATGTTGCATGCTGGTGCTGCCCTTCCTGTACCAGCGAAGGCCCCGAACCTCGGGCCAAGTCCAGTCACTGCCCAAAGATGTGTCACCCAATTATGAAGGAAATCATCCTACACATACTTGGTCCGACTTATTAAAATGTGCGCTTCACTTCAAAACTCAAGCAGAAGTACAAAGGAGCACCTGTACTAAAAAATCAACCAAGAGACGGTAGATAGATAACTATTGTGTCGTTTCTTGGCCTGACCTTCTAGCTTTCATCGCTGCTGGTGTCTTAGGGCGCATCTGCAAGTGCGTCAACCTGCAAAACGTCGACATTTTTTCACCTCCTCCAAGATACACTGCGCTTCTTTGATATTTTCACTCCATAGGCACAATTTACACGATCGACTTCGCCTCCTCCTCGTGCAGTGCGACTACCAGAATGGTGGCTATAGGTGTTTTCGCCTGAAACTCCCACGACACCTTCAAAATTAATGTTGAAATGAGGCGAACAAGTAAACCACCACGCATAAAAAATCACTTCTGACCACCGTGTACCGCGCGCGTACTGAGTCTGATCTGTGTCGACATGTACATGTCATGCAGTCAGACCATGCGTGTTCTTCCCTGCCTGTTTCACGAATCCACTTGCCCCGGAGACTGGCGATCTTGTGACGCATCGCGATCGCGGCTCCGCGCGCGGATCCGAGGACTCCGCACCGTATCCACCGGATAATTCACCCTTTCTGCGCTTCAGCTTTCCAGCCAGGTTGTCGCCTGAAAGTCGACCTCAAGGCCGGTCATTTATTTCGATCAACTTCTCGGCGATCTCTTCTGTGATCTTGATTCGCCGGCCGCCACATCGTGAACGACTGCGAGAGAGATCAGCAAACTGGACGGAGCGATGCTGGTGCTTTCTGCACGAGTTTCTGGATGACGCGTTTGCTGAAATTCTGCCAAGGAAACAGCGATTTCAATCCGCCATTAGGCACTCGAGAACGATCGCCCAGGAGGTTCTGGTACTCCGTGATAATCCCCCATTGCAGCGGGGTGTTGATTTCAGCACCAGGCCTTCTCTGTGTTGCGCGAGAAGCAACAGGAGTCCTCTGACGACAAAATTTGGATGAAAAATGGTTGAGTCGACTAGGATTCTGAGCCGCTACCTCCGTCGGAGTGGGAGCCATTTCTTCCTCAACATCACAAATTGACAACTGAAAGATAGTGTTAGATAGCTGGAAAGTTTATTCCGTCCTGAGATTATTAGAATTTGTTTGGTTGACGTTCGAAGCGAAACGCACATTTTAATAAGTCGGACCAAGTATAAGGGTCAATTATTATTCTCATTTTCTTTGGAGACAAGAATACAATGATACTTAGAAGTATCCATTGTCCATGTTCATTTGATTTTGCCTGTATTTCACCTGATGATAAGGCATGAAAGTATAGTAGCGAAAACTTTTGAAATGTTGAAGAGCATGAAGTGTGTCCTACTTCCAAGTAGTATTATCATTATAAGCACTTCCGTGTTTAAGTGTATCAGCATGATGCCAGAGTGTGGCCGAGCTGTGATCTAACATGTTCAAGCCCTATAGGCAACATAGCCATCAAACTGTGGCGCACTTACAGCATGTCAGTCGAACCTTTCCACGAGCGATGCGAGCATTATTGATGAACTCATTGAAGTCCTGTACATGGAAACATAAGCACAACATGATGATCATTCTGTACATGTACATACTATATACCTGGCACATACTTGAGACAACAAAGCACACACACACACTAGAAATATTCCAAATACAGCAGCAGCAGCACAAAACCAGCAGCAAGCAATGCAGACTGCAACAACTTCATTCATTGATCAAAGAAAGTAGCTTACAGCATGCTCATCCCTCATGATGCCCTGCGACACCATCTTCTTGGCAATATGGTCAATGTTGTTACGTCTTGCTCTCCATTCCTCGTCTAAGTTCTTAGGCCAGGGTGGCCGAGAGAAGGTATTAATGAAAAATTCATCCCTGTAGATGGAAAGAAAAAAGCAGAAAGAGAAAAAGAGAGGGGGGGAGACAAAGTGATATAACATCCAATGCTAGTCAATCCATCATCACACATACCCGGCGTATACTCCATAGTTACTGTGCACACTTGCTGGTACAGTGACAAGTGCCACTGAACGCCTGCACAGAGCCTGGTGATTCGGGAATACAAAGTGCACGTTTCTCCTACAAAGAGCACTAGGCTTTGAACTTTATTTTGATTTTACTAGGGTGTTTCCCACAGACCTATGGGCTTTGCTGGATACACCGCTCACCCTTGGTACACTGTTCACCCAGGAAGAGATGCCGTCTGTGCAGTAGTGGTCAAACCAGAGTCTAGGTATCCAGCACGACAGTCACGAGAATTATGATCATCAATTTTACAGTGCTCTGACCCAGACACTGTTTGTTCATATTTTTATACCTTGCACTACAAGTGTATTGCTTCCTGGATATTTCACTCCCCCTCCCCTCTCTCTCTCTAACTGCCAATCAGCTCTAGCACGTCTTGGATGCGCACTCCAACAGCCCTCCTACTTGGAACGTTCTTAGTTAGTGCGCACAAACAAGACGAGCACAAGCTGAACGTCTCAGCTCCGAAGGACGTTCGCGGATGTACTTCAGTATGTACTTCAGTACATGTATGTCGATGGCGATACTGCCTACTGGCAAGACCATTGGACAATACGGTCAAACCACCATACAAGGGCGTATAGCAACATACCACACAACTTGTGTGGCTCTAAACATTCGAAGGTCAATTGGAGGGGAAGCTAAGTGAACATAAATCGTGCAAAACCGAACGCCTCAGTAATACCGTACTTTACTTCGACTATCACAATTTCGATCACCAATAAGCAGCAGTAACAAGCAGCAGTTTCACACGACGATCGTTTTACCGTATAGGTATGGACGGCTCATCCGGTGTGCAAGGTAGATACGGCGGGCGAACATGTGCGCGGGGTGTAAAAAGCCCCAAGGTCCAGCCACCCTAGTCATGACAGTCCACAGCACACCTGTGGGAGGCCTAACTCATGTACGGGTCTACATTCGTGCATTTGGTATGTTAGGGGCCGTCCGTAAATATTGATATTTTTTCAAGATGGTAATAACTATTTGTTCATTGCTCCCCTGACCCCCTCCCTCCCCCCTCAAAACGAACATACACATGTTTATACAAAGGATCGATATTTTATTGAAGTGCAATTTCCTCACGAAACGTGACCAGCTGAAACTCTAATTTCACCATACACCTAGGTTTACGTTCCCACGGTCGCACAACCTTGCCATGGCTATGTTCATGAGGTTGACTTTCACTTTGTGTAGGCATTAACTACATGTCCGAACAGTGCCCATCCATAGATAGAGTTCGATATTTTTTTCTCCCCCCCTCCCCCCCCCCCCCCAAACGAACGAATATCTTCTCTAAAAAAAGATCGATATGTGTGGACGACCCATTATAATATGGAGCATTTTTCTGTGTTGTGCACATGTTGTCCAGTGATAGGCAACAAGTGCAGGAGATGAATACCGCCACATACAGTAACAGCGGCGGATCCAGCCATCTCTCTAGGTAACAGGGGGGTTCCAGTATAGTCAAAACTGAATAGCTAGTACATATACATGGGCACGCATATGCTTTCCAGTAGTACATTGGAACCCCTCCTGGATCCGCCCCTGAGTAATGTAATGCGTCAACATGAGTACGCAGGTGCTCGAGGTCACAGTCATGCCGAGTGCCTCTTCAACACAAAACATGCAACTTGTGTGACGTCTTGACTTGAGTACTACAGTCCATTCATAAAAAAAGGGCCCTGGCTCTGGCGAGCTCCCGTTTTGGCTATTTTATCGTACATGGTGCAGCGCCGCGAAGTTTGAAACTTGAAAAGGGGTCCAAAAAAGGTACCTCAACTGTCAAACCGCACAATGTACTGTTGTTGTAAGTACACTCATACCTCGGTTATCCGGACCCCGAAGTTACGGGCACGTCGGTCTACAGGGCAACCTTTGGGCGAGTTTCAGCGGAAATTCTACAACTCTTTAGTCACTTTTCGCGGAATTTGTTACGCCATATGCCAAATCCATGGCCTTTCCCCATCAAAATGTACTGGTATGCGATTCGGAGTTACGGACAATACGGACATTTCAAATTATGGGCAGTACCCGGTCCCGGACCGCCCAGATAAACGAGGTATGAGTGTAGAGTAAAACGGCCTGGATTTTCCCAATTCAGTGCTTTTTGGAGCAATTTTCACGGTTCGCGTCAGACTCGGCTAGAGGGCAAAACGTGGCGGAAATCCTATTCTTGCTACGGTTTGCTTTTAGAGAAAAAGACTTCAGAAACATAATTGGAAGAGCATTCCATCGGGGATTGCAAAAATCTTTAAAAAAACTCAAGTGTGACCCATTCATGGCCAAAAGCTAGAAGTCCATCTGTTTATGAATGGACTGCAGTACGCAGTTACACGCATACATGTTTGAGTCAACTGCATCTTCATATATCTCTATCAGTATCAGTAACGTTTTTAGAACTCGTATACAGACTATGACCACACGTGCAGCAATGCCAATAGCAAAAAAGCTAGTATTAGACTAGAGAATAACATGTAGGCAAGCACACTGTTGAGGTGCAATCCATAGAATAGAACGTATCGATGGATTACAGGTTTCCTCTTACTTGAAAGCCAAGGGGGCTGACCGAGTACCGAAGATCTGGTTACCGATTTCCTGGCATTTTGCATTGAATACTGTCTTCCCCTCGTTGGACACGGTCGAGCGTTTTAACTCGTGCAATTTCAGGCCTCTGTAAACGTACCTACGGATAGTCATGACGCCATAAGGAAGCTAGCACAGCGAGCCAGACCAATCAAGCCTGCTTACACTGGAGCTAGGCAAAGCTTTCAGAACGCTCAACACTCCCCACACAACAAAACAAACTGAAAAATGCTCAGACGACGTAAAAAGTTACTTGAAAAAACTTGAAGCTGAAAGCAGGGAGTCGTATAGACCCGGGAGGCGACACGAGGCCTTCCGGGCCGACTATGATTGACTCGCGGCACTTTCTCCCACTTTTCCCTCAGATATCCCCGGTGCGTGCCCTGAGTTATAAACCAACTACTCCGCGTACTTATGCCATGGGAGTGCACTCCTTGGGGAACGGACTCGTGCAGGATCGATAGGATCGTGGGAAATCGTAGCTCGAAAAGAAGAAGAAGAATGAACTACTTAGTTGCATTTGATGATCGTGATGGAGGCAGAGAGTGCTGCTGATCGCGATCCAGATCCGGGTCAAGAATCACCTCCTGATCCTAAGGAAACCTCAGCTGACGTAGATCTACGTTCTCTTCGCGTGAACGCTCAGTCTGTGTTGGCTTGGGCCACAGGTATGGTTTGAATTCTAATTTTCTATGTTATTATATTTTTCAATTTGTCTTGAAACTTTCAACCTTGCTACTTAGCGGCTTCTGATCTGGTGCACGTACTGCAGAAAAAGTTGCGAATATTCATGAATTGGAAGAAATACTTGTGGGTTGATAGAGTGCAGGACTTGTTCAATGGTTTCTACAGAGCGTTCCGAATCCCAGCCGCTAAAGACCCACAGAAGGCAAGAAACTTGCGTTGCAAAGCTGCTGTCCCGCCTGACTGCGGAGAAAGAAGACTCGTTTATGGTTGTTCTACAGCCGCTGCTGACGTCCATCAGCTCTGTCCTGCTCCCAGCAGCAGATAAGCCTGGATTTCAATGAGTCGTGTCCCAACTCCGGTGTGAACGATTTCCTGACGTCAAGACGAAGTGGGGTCAAGTCATGGGTGTTGCAAAGGAAGCTGTCACAAGATGAATTGATCCAGTATTGAACGGTAGGTTTTGTAAAGCTGCTCTAGCATTTGGATACTATAAATTATAACATTAAATTATTACTTGTATTCACGAAGCCATGCCCTAGACGTGCGACATAGCGTGCGTCCATGTGTATATGTGTGCGTGCGTGTGTATATTGTGTGCGCGCTTGTGCATGTCGTAAAATCCCGCCAGAGCACCCCTACCTCCGCAACCATTCGAGTAGATCCATTTGGGGAGGGGCGGATGGGCGAGTCCTGCTTGCCGCATTCAGTACTACATGAAAAAGTACTCACCCTACGAAAACTGGGCGTGCGTCTCGTACACCCAACAAAAGTCAAGAGCTGGGAGTCGTACAAACCCATCAAAACCCTAGGGTGTGTGCGCTCTCTGGTCAAGAGGGTGGGAACTGTTGCGTACATTTCCAACCAGGTCGAGGACGCGTCTACAGTACAGTACGACCTCACACTTCACATAGGCATACGAGGATACAACTCTATTGATAGATAAGATAATGTGCTAGTAGATCTCTGCCATGCCAAAGTTGCATTCAGTAGAGGTAGTAGGCGTGTTTGCCATTGGCTCACGGCACTTGTAGCAGCTGATCGGACGATGCAAATGGACTCCCAGTCCACATTAGCTGGTTCTTGAGATGCTTCCGAAAATATACCATGGCACGCACTTTCCACTGTTTTTACATAGGGCCGGAAGTGTGTTGTCCTGAGCTTGCCACGATACTTTCCGATCTGTCCATCTTCTCTCTTTGTTAAGTTGGAATTATTTGAAGAGCTGATGGCTGGTAACTTGCTGGTCAGCTGGTAGGAATACGTTTGCAAGTGTTGCTGCTGATTTGTACATTGAATTGCCGGAGTGACGTGGCCTTGAGTAGTCTTCCCCAGCAATGAACTGAAGAGTAGCATGCGTATTGAATTCTCTTGTTGCCGGTTCATCGGTCCCTCTCCATGACACCAGACTAGACTGAATTACTGGCATCCCTTCATCGGCCTGCTTTTCGCCTCGAACTTCACGAGTCTTGAAATCTGGACCCAAAATAATAAAAGTGGGACTCAATTGCGCAGTTCAGACGATAAATTGATGCAATAAGGGGTCATCGCAAAAGTGTTTAGTCATCCCTGAAAAAAACATCATTCATTTCGTACTCGGACCCCCTCTCCACCCTCCGAAATGAATGGATGACGAAAATCGCATGCATATACATGTGTATGCATAGCGTCAGTCAACAGAAATCTTAGCTCCCCCCCCCCTGGAACGATCTTCGTTTCAGGGACGACCAAAAACTTGTGTGACCACTGACTTTCTTTCTCTGCTATCAAGCAGTATGCAGTATTTGTAACAGTAATTACTTGTCTGTGTCATGTGCATGCATTGTCTTATTTCCTTTTGAAGGCTACAGCACAACCGAGAGAACGAAATGTACGTCGCAATCAAGCTATGTCATTGCCATCTTCTATGTGCCATGCGTTACCTGATGTGCCAGCCTTCTATGTCGGATACCGCTAACCATGCATCGACTAGGCGCCAGGCGCGAACTGATGGTGGTGGTAGTGGTGGTGATGAGAAGGAGAGCTCTGTGCAAGAATAACTTTGCAGTTTAGAGAGCGTGTCTGGGCAGGCGTGTATTTACCGCCATATTGCCAGGTGTGTATTTACCACCGTATTAATCAACCATGCGCTACCTGATGTACCAGCATGCTATATCGGACACCACTCACCCTGCATTGACTAGGCGCCAGATGCGAACTGATGATGGTGGTGGTGGGAAGGAGAGCTCTGTGCCAGAGTAACTTTTTCAGTTTAGAGAGCGTGTGTGGACAGGTGTGTATTTACCGCCGTATGAATCCACCACAGTACGATCAGCTGACGTTATAACTTATAAGGATGATCTCGTGCAGCGATATGATGATATTTTTTCAGTCTTTTCTAAGGACTCTCCACTGCGTTTTCGTTCCACTCGAATATGGAAAACGCGGAAGGTTGTTAGCACTGTGTTGAGGCAGCTATTGTTGACTTTATTCGGAATTAATTCTGTTGTATTTGCACACATTCCTGGGTGCATTGTATTAGCATCCAATGTGTGTTATCTGTGCGAGCTTCTAACCTTGTGAACATTCACCGAAGGTTTGGTTGGTGGCGCACAAGATCTTACGGGATGGCTCTTGCGGGCTCTCAGCCCTGCGTTTACTGCATAAAACATGGCAGAACAGTTCAAGCTTCAATTTAGGCCATTTCCTCACTCTGACTCCCAATATTTCACATGTGTAATAATTATAAGTATTGTGGATCCCTGGGACAGCGCCATTTTGTTAGCCAATGTTAGTCCTGAAGAAAAATTGACTTCATTGTCCTAAAGGTGAGAACAAATTGGGACTATTTGTGAAGGAAAACTTTGGAAAATGCAATTTCGAATGTAAGTCATTTCGTTTATCTGGATTCGTCCAATATTTCACAAATGTGCAATATGAGTATTGTAGATCACTGGGACAGGGCCACTTAGTCTGTCAAAGTTCGTCATGAGGAAAAAAATTATTTCATTGCCCTAAAGGTGAGAACAAATTGGGACTATTTGTGAAGGAAAACTTTGGAAATATAATTTCGAATGTAAGTCATTTCGTTTATCTGGATTCGTCCAATATTTCACAAATGTGCAATATAAGTATTGTAGATCACTGGGACAGGGCAACTTAGTCTGTCAAGGTTAGTCATGAGGAAAGAATTTACTTCATTGCCCTAAAGGTGAGAAAATATTGAGGCAATTTGTAAAGAAAGGATTACCTCATCTTAGGTGGTCAAAGTGCCTCAGAGTTCGAGTGGCAGTGCAAAGCCAGTGAGTAAGCCAGTACAGTGAACAAGTGAACTCCTCAGCGATGGCCACAGATGGCTGTATTTCGGCAATGGAGATCGAAAGTCTGACCTGTGACAATTGTTCTCGAAAGGACGAAGACGACGATTTCTCGCTATGTACCATGTGTACGGATTTCCCGCGCGCTATGACCTATGTACGGACTTGTCCCACACCGAGCAGGTCGTAATATTTTGAATCGTTGAGTCGATCATGGTTGTGCACAAGTGATGCGCGTGTCGCCTCCCGGGTCTATACGACTCCCTGGCTGAAAGTCATGATTGAGTCCATAAACATTTTTTTGTTTTTTTTGTTTGCTGACTGATCTGACGTCATCAACACAATGTGCACGCGTGCACGGTCATCAGTCATATCGACGATCACCATGTAGATCTACCATGCGCATATGCATGGATAGGCTTGGCTTGCGACTCAAATGCGAGCAAGACTGTGGAAGTCGTGTACAAAGTGCGTACAAAGTCTACTACAAACTGGCACGTTTTTTGTATGCAAAACCCTGTACTGTACTGGCTGCTGCACCTCAAGATCTCATTGATCAGTAGCGCTTGTTGTATGGCTGTTCTGCCTTGCATGGCGGGTTCCCCTCGCCCACGTTCTTGTACCCACATTCTTCGTAGACTCTACGCACACCACAGCGCAGTACTGCATGCATGCAGTATCATATCAGCCGATATACTAATTTTCGATTTTCCGTACACAGAATGTACGTCGACGTCGGCGGGTTTGATTTGTTTGACGTCCTCATCCTCAATGATCAACCTCACACATGACGTGCATACCGCACCAGTGCAATTTTATGTATGGAGGAGATGATGCCGTTGTGAAAAGACTGTGTTCATATCACGCCAAACCAGCCGTTCAAAGCTGTTCGAGGAACGTGAAGTGTGGGTGGACGCTCGAGCTTTGAGCTTTTGTGCTGTGTGTAGTTGAACCGTCGTAACCTCGCTGGGTCCTTCTCTAAGCATTGCTCTTAGTCCTAGTTGCTGTTCACCTTCTCTTTGATTTTGTAAGCGGCGCTTCCTCTGCCGTACTAATTTGAACCTAAGCGGTACTGATTGGAAGTTTATTCAAACGTCCTCCTCTGTATTGGCTTTATTTGCCAATTTCTCGCCTCCAACAGTTGGTGTTGTGAATATACGATTTCATCAGTAAGTACCATTCCCCACTGGATCCTGTAAGATTCTACCTGTTTGCGATGGTGTCTTGTTCTCACTCACTTCCACCTGGGATTACATACATTTACGAGCGTTGATTTGAATCCTTTTGGAGAAAACTCAGTGCATGTAATGTTTTGAAACTTGCTACTACAGACAGTACAACTACAAGTTATAGAGAAATCAAATCACCCGTACTGGCTTTGTCTTAAGTTCAGGCGAGGAGGGTAAAGGTGTAGTTTAGGGTCCCAAATTATTTCGCACTTTCCCAGTGTCCTGTGTACTGTCACGCATGCTTTCTGTGTACATGAACCCCAGAAACCTTGCAAACCAAGATCAAAAACACAGTTTTGTTTGTGTGTGTGTTTGTGTACAGTGGCAGAAGCGGATGGGGCAAAGAGCAAGAAGATTGGACTTAGTATCCAAAAGAAGCTGTTTGGTAAGATGGCCAAGAAATCAGTAATCAAAGCTGTGATCGAGGATGACACATTTGATCTTATTGATGAGCTTGGTGGACTAGTCGCTGCTGAGAAAGGCGACAAGTACAGTGAAAAGTACGTAAAAGATCTGCTCAAAATTGTGGTGAAGATAGGCATTCTTTTGAAGAATGGTGAATTCAACGATGACGAGATCCGAATGACGACAAAGTTCCGGACGAAGTTGCGCTCGCTGTGTATGACATTCATCAGCTTCCATCAAGTTGCATTCAGCCACGACAGCGCTTTCCTTATGTCCGGTGTGACCGAATCTTCCAAGCTCGTACATGCTCTCGTACAGCGGCATCTGACAGACAAGTCACACAAGCGAGTAGACAATGTGTTCGAATTCTTCACAGCAGAGATGTTCGATCGGCTATTCGATCCCAGCGGCCCGCATAAGGAACGCTTAGACAGGATGGCACCCCTCGTAGCGAAGCTTGTAGACGAAGACAAGATTTAAATGGGGAATTCAGCGTATCTAGTCATGTTATAGTTCCGATTAGTCGGTCTTGTTGCTATCACAGGCCAGTTTTTGATTTTTCTTCTTCCCTTGACTTTTGGCTTGTTATTACAAGTATGCAAAGCCATTGTCAGAGGGTCAAGGGCATGCCAAGAACTTCTTTCCATGGTGTGGAATGCCTGCAGTCGTGCCCGAACATATCCTGAAATATTTGCTAGCCACACCTCTTGGCAGGCTATTTTTAACTGGCTGGTGACAGTTGCATGCTCATGAAATCTTATCATTCTGATCTATTGAAACGGCACATGCTCTACAGCTTGGAATGCTGCTCTATTCCCTGACCACTGACTGTCTCTCTGCTTCCAGCAGTGGAGTAGTAAGAAGTTACTGTTAGCTGCTTATGCTATTGCCATATAGCTAGAGCGGCATGTCGAAAACTCCCTTCATTTTTTTCCTTACTCTGAACGTACTTGTCCTCGCTACTTCCCTGCTGTTTGGCTCATGACTCTTGGGCGCTTTCGCTGACTGGCTTTCTGTACATATCATGGATTTTGAGATTTTCAGTACTTAGTTTTTAGGTTATGTACATCAATCAGTGTACTGGTGTGTGCTCGACTTTGTTGAACTGCTCTGTCTTTACAGGGTCTATGATATCTCTATGACTGCAGTGCAATAATTAATTCTATTCCAATTTAGTCGTCCGCTTTTTGTTCGGTCACACTTTGACATGTTGTTGTGCTATGTCTGTATCCATCTCTAATACTCTGTATTTATATCAGTAGAACCTCCGTTCGTCTGTCTGATTTCTCTCTTATTCAATGCCTTGGTGTGTTGTCACTTGTGTAACCGTTCGTTGTCGCTTCGTTTGTCTCAGTTTTTTTGTCAAATTACTTCGTATTTGCTGAGCACTGAGGAGGGCGTATGCGCAATCTCTTTGAAAGAAAGAAAAAGGGTTAGAGCTGCTTTATTCCCCATGATGCCTCCGCGGTGGACACTACTGGATACATCTCTCTCTCTCTCTCTCTCTCTCTCTCTCATCTCTCTTTCTCTTTCTTTCTTTCTGTCATGCATAGGGTTTCATCTTGTTTTGTTCCACAGTATATATCGACTAGACAGTGCCCTCCAGAAGTTAAACTGATAATCACTCTAGGCAATAGTCAACTACGAATGTTTCTTGCATGGCAGGATGTGTGCGTGCGTATGTGTGTGTGTGTGTGTTTAGTGTCATCGCTCCATGCGCTTGGGCCGTTTTGCAAACATTACTCCTGATGGTTTTATTGTACAGGAAAAGGGGCTTGAAATTTGATTTAATATTTTATGGTGGATTTATCGTTCGCGCTATGTCCGGTACTGGAATACGGCATCATTTGACTGGTCTTTTCTCATCCTGTGTCATTATAATTATAGCCGGTACATGTACTTCGAAGTATATCGCTACATGATCCAATGATGTTTTACGAATATCTACTGTACATTTACTGCATGTATCACTATCACAGGTCAAGTACGCAGGGGGGAGGGTTGACTGCCAGTGCAGCCTGCTGCATAGTTCATACATTTGGAGACACTCTTTGCCATTGGCATTGGTGTATGGTGTCATGCTCTTTGCTGCTAGTCGGTGCTTCAAGCACTTGCCAACAGTCAACACTTGTAACAAGTGACATGTACTGGTGGATAAGCACTGTCTACTGCATCATGAGTGCTGATGCCTGGCAGTGATGTAGCTGCAGTTGGAACACAGCTATGTTTTATGCTCATTAGCTCTCAGGCTACACACTATTATTATTAATATAGTAGAAGTATAACTACTGTAACACAGGCTGTCAGCCCTTGACTGAGGCTGTCCATGGTATGTGTTCATGGTAATGAAGGAGTTACAAAACAGTCTGGGGGGGGGGGGCAGGGGACAGACTCTTCACTACTTCAGGCTCAATCATGCATGATTCAATCATGCATGATTTAGTTTTGACTGTGATGATTGATAGTGTTCTACTAGTACATTGTGTACACAGAGCTGTAGAGTATTACTGTGTGTTATCATGCCACGATAGGCGGTCAGCCTTTGGGTCATCCTAATAAAGTTGTTGTTATTAATTATTATGAGTCTGCACCTACACACAGTCACATTGCATGGCATACACACATGTACTGGATATGCTCACTAGTCATTGCATGACTTGCTGCCTCCGTAATCTGGTTTAGCACGGAGTGCATTACGGTATACACAAGCAGTACAAATCAATAATATTAAATCATGAATATTACAACTTTAATTATAGTGCCTTGGCATGTCCATTGTGTTGCAAAAGAAGGATCCACGAGGATTGGAGATTTCGGACCATCTTTCCCACCAGTTGGTCTGTCATTATGGAGGTACTCATCACCTCAGAAACAGAGCAGCATAGTTTCCTGACACCACTTCCAAAATGCATGTTGCTACAAGTACTGGTAGCTTTAGCTTTTGATCATCTACCTGGGTACTAGATATTGTAGTTTGCAGGCATCTCCAATGATCCAAACCCGAAGACCCCATTAATTGTTTACAGCACACGGTCCATACAGGAAAGTGTTTCAACTACATGTAACTTGGTGCTATATCCTTCCGAGTTTACAGCTACATTGTACATCCATTGAGTGGTTAGCAGTTAGTGTCAGCAGGTGGTATTGTAGCATGCACACACACACACACACACACACACCTCAGACCTCAGACATGCCCATCGCGGAAGCGATGATAGCGAACAGCTATGTTAGACATAGCAACTTGTGCTGGGATTACACCATTCAACAGCTTGCAAGGCTGATGAATTGACCGCCACTAATTTTTAGCACACACACACACACATACCAGTTACGGCAGGATCCCTCATTCATGACTGAGCTGGACTGCTAGCCCATCACGACACAGGACTCGTGGAGGTGTGCTTCAGTGCCTTCACTGTGAAAGACAACAGCGGAGAAGTGTTTTGTGCTGAAATTCGACTGCATTGAAATCAGTGACTTGAATCCTATCACTAACACACATTGTGCTTCAGATCATGTTTGTGTCCACTAACTGCTGGAGCCAACAGTGACAACTGTTGCCAGATTGAATCCATGGACATCAGCTTCTACTAGCAATCTTGCCCGGCCAGGACTATGCCGGGTATTGTTTATGCGAAAGACAGGAGTATGTGTACGTGCGAAGTACTTCAAGCTGAAGTTCAAAGTAGATATAGAATATATGGGGACAGTTCAGAGATGTAACTGTCATGTGCAAAAATAAAGAATGGCAGAATTGCAGTAGGGTTAGTGCTACTGCTGTGTAAGTGTACTAGTATCATACACCCAGCCAATGGAGGAGCTACGGGTCATGCTTCACATAGCTCACACAAGCCTGTGTAACCCATCGGCTGTGACCACTGGGAACCAGCACTCGCTGAATCCTGGCTGGTCCACTGAAAGAGAACAGTGATGTATGCACTAGTATACTCCCTAGTCGTCCAGGTAGGATACTGCTGGCAAGGTATTGACAGCAACGACACCAATGGTGGTACTTGAAGTATCCAATGCAACAGTCCTCCGTGCTGCTGCTAAAGCAGCACAATTGGCATCACTGCATGTCACACATTTCCACTACCTCGTGACGAGAGTCTCTGCCTGACTGCAAGATGCACAGGATTGGGTTGCTCGCCACATATGCGACGACACCATGGAGATCGCAAGCTGGATGTCCACAGCAGCCCGACAACCTTGCGTCAGCACGCATGGTTGAGTCCGAGCAGAAAAGCTCGAGGATGCGCTGTCCATTGACACACCGCTGTTGCCATCTTTCAGTACAGAAAGAGTCAAAGTGGCCAGGCAGTCCACACAGTGTGTACGGCTCACTATGTTGACATTGCTACTCGTAGAGCAAATACATCAAGCTAAATAGGAGTGTACCTGGGTGGTATGACTGGTGTCAGTAGCAAAGCACAATCCACTGGTGGGATCGGTGGCCATGGTGGCATGCAAGACCCGTTCCTGCTCACTGCGGCTTGAGGTTTAGTACGAACAGAGAGAGTTCAGCCAATCCACTCACTCTGCACTTTGTCTAGTGGCAGAGGCATTTGTAGCATTGGACATCAGCTCATCCAGCTCTGTCTCCACAGACCTGTATTACAACACAAGGCAGGAAGACACGCTTGTCATGGTAACCGGCCCAGGGAAGGGAAGCAGGACCTACACAATGGACATGACTGTAGTAATGAGACATTTGCAGATCTATTACTAAAACCAAACTGCTTTACGCACACACCCATCTTTTATTCCTCCAGTACACAGGACAGAAGAAGTGGCATACCTGCAACGTTTCTTGAGGGAAAGCTGGATTTTTCTTTTTAAAAAGTTGACCGTTGTGCCTCATTTGTGATTCAACGCTTACAGTAAGTGAATTTTAAGCCGAGCACCTGTGAAAGACCATGCAGCAGTTTGCTGTCATTCGCCTGTCAGTAAGGACAACGGCTACCTTGCACACCCATTCAAAGCCATAAAACCTCTCATTGACAGACTGAGACACCTACTACACAAGCAGGGATGGTCTTTTAGGCGGCTTTTTTTAGTTGCGCTCTGGTATACTACTAACTAGTGATCTGGTTGGCTAGTAGTGACTCTGATGAATCCTGAAGTTCGTAAGGCATGCGCTAACATTGGATTCTTCCATTCATTTTTCCAGATTATCATGGATTTTTCAATACATAGAAGTGTCACTGTACTAGTAGCTGTGCGCTGTGGAGTGTGGAGTGTGCAATGGAATACAGCAAAGACACAGCAGCAGGCGTTGGTATAGATGTACATACTCTCGGCTAGGCGGTTCAGAATCTGCCGCGGACGTTCTCTCCAATAGAATGGCCCACTCGGTGTCCAGTGCTTGCGGGAACATGTCCAGAACGATTGCCTTCACCGGCCTGAAACCTTCGTCCGGTTGATAGACTGGGGACTGGAGACACAAGCTGCGGAAATCACAACACATTGAGAAAAAAGAACATGTGCATGCGGGCAAAGATAGTGCAGTGCTGGACAGAAACCACACCGTCCACATACATACCGTAAAGTACCGTTGATCCGCCCCCCACGCCATGTCGCTTCCCAGCTGGGTTTTCGGCAGGGGGCGGGAATTAGATCAAGGCTGTCAAGTGCAGAACGATGTACAACAACGTAGAAGTTCAGACTCGATGTGCTGGATTGTGCACATTTTCATCCTGGATTGGCAAGTATTGTGTACAGCAGTGCATGCGTCGGTTCAACATCATATTTTCGTTGTATACGCCGAAGTCGCTTCACAGGTAGAAAATCGACAGGGGGTGGGAATTAGACAGGGGGCGGATCAACGGTACTTTACAGTACTTGCATTTACTTCTATAGCTGTTTTGGCCCCCATCTCCCAATCTTATTTATTTATTCAGGGGCGTCGGAAGGTATTTTAGTGTGGTACGGTCAGCCATCTGAAGTACAATTACAATAGGCCTTATGCACATTGTACAGATGCACGAAATCCCGTATAATCTTGTAGAATCCCGTAGACCCGGTTGGGTGTTGAATGTGCAGGACCCTATTGTGTTTACTGCTATTTCCACTATGAAATGGGCCATGAAGGCATTTCATACGAAATCTTTTTCCGGCAGAGATCTAGCTAGTCGTTAGTTCAATCCCAAAGTGAAGAAGGCTTGAAAAGTGATCGTTTGCCATGAATTGTGAGGCTAAATGGGTCAAGCGCGCATATATAGCACACAATGAACACCCAACCGGGTATGTACACACCTACGGCCATAGTACAGAACTTCGTACATCTGTACAATGTGCATAAGGACTATTACTTCGAAGTACTCATGGGGGAGTGGTGGCTGAGCCGAAAATGCCGAAAATTGGAAATTTAGATCCCAGATCACTGTATTTTATTGATTCACGGGGTACCTGGGCCAAAAAGTGGTACCGTCAATACCGTAGCGACCGTACCGTGTCCGACGGCCCTGTTATTGCACCTTCCCGTGGCCAGGGAATATACTAGGCCAGTATGGAGGGAGGAGGCGATAGCCAGCCATGGCGGCAAGTAAAAACAATGCAAAATGACAAATTCGAACTAGAAGAGGCAATACGCCGCAATAGCCCAAATAGGGCAATCGACTATAACTCTTATCGCCCCACCCCCCGAGACACACACATCATAGCACCATAGAATGGGGTTGCATTTTTGTTGTTTTTGCCATGTGATTAAGCAATCACGAGTGAAACGAGGGTTGCCTGCTGCTCCTCGTTGCTAGTCTTGAAGAAGAAAAAAAATCACGCCCATCTGCTGCTGCTGCTAGCTGCCAATATTGATGCTGTCCCTGCGTTCGCCACCTCCAACTGCTGAGGTGCCTCGTGCTGTGGCACTACCACACCTTGGTCCGCCCTGCGTTGATCCGGCATCGTACTCTCGTACTCTGCTCATGCTGCCGTACTCTCGCGTTGTGGCCTCGTGGGTACGTCTTACGCTATTTGCGCTTGCCACGTGCTTATGCGGCCCGCCTTACCTGGTGGGCTCTCGCGCCTTATTTCCCATATAAGCATGGTGGTGTCTGTCATTGTGGACCGGGCGGCATCCGGGGACTTCGCCTCTTCCATACGTGGTATGTTTGCTCCGCCACACCGCCTGTTCTATCTTGCGTACTCGGTTAGTACTGTACCTTGGCTGAGGCTTCGGCCTCGTTTACACGACAACGATTGAAAAACGTTTTTCAATCATTTTCCAAACGTTTTTGCTGTTTACACGAAAACGATAATCGTGTACACTGCAACACGTTTTTCGGCGCGCAATGGTCACGTGCAATAAGTTGGCCTGGCGTAGGCTGGCGGCGGCATGTTTTGAGTACAAGGCTCGTACTAGTAAAACGTTTTTGCCGTTTACACGAGAACGAAACGGAACGAAAACGATTGAAAAACACTTTGAAGCCGTTTTTCGTTTGAAACGTTTTTGAAACGTTTTTCAGCGTTGTCGTGAAAACGCTCTTATCAAATTCTGTGGAAGCGTATTCTTTTGAAAACGTTTTTGACAAAAACGTTTTTCAATCGTTGTCGTGTAAACGAGGCCTTAGTACGCGCGCTGGAGTCCTTTCGTGCCATGAAAGGAACTGCTTCCTAATATAGAGATTAGGCGCCATGAGCCCTGCTTGTAGTAAACATTGCATTAGTAGCGCTGATACCTTTATGCAAATATGGGGTAGTCTCGCCCGCGCATATCGGCGTACTCGTACTGCGGCCTGGGCTTTCCCCAGTACGGCTGCCCGCCATTGCATGCCAGACACCCCCATTGTTGCGCGCCTAGCCACGCGCGTGGCTTTTGCCTGCTGCTCGGTTGTCAGCGATAACTACGGTTTGCCGTACGCTGCAAACCTACATTAAATTGCTTTGGAATTTTGGGCTCAAATTTTCACAGGTTGTTTCTCACATCTTCCCGGTTTAGAAAAAAACTAGCGTTTTATGCAAAACTCGCAATTTTTGATTTTTCGAGTGAACTTCCTAATCACAGTGACATCACAAGGACATGATAGGTATCCATTTTACCTCTGGAGAATCCGTAAATAAACAAAACTGAAACTGAACCTGAAAACATTGTGCACGTGATCTACACAAGTAGCACTGCACAGTTCCAAAGCAAGTGCACCAGAAGCAATGGGACTACAGCCTGCATACTAACATCTACCTACACCCGGTCTACACACTACAATTACATCAGCCTGCATCATTTGCCAACACCATAGTACCTGTTACATGTAGCACTCTCTAGCTGACATACCTCACAAGGTTGCCTTTGGACGATTCAAACCGACAAGCAATGAATACGATACGCTTGAGCACCTTGAACGTACGCAGTGCAGATAGGAAGACCTCGTCTGAGCAAGCAGCACAGCAGCAACACAGCAGAGCAAAGTATTATCTCGGTTTAATTTTACCACTTTCCAGCGTTTTTTCTCAGGGTGCACTGTAGCCATGTCATCTTGCTCACAAAAGCAGAAAACCACTCAAATTGGCCTCTTGGCTAGAATTGATTGAAAAAGAAGTAACATACTGTAAGACATGTAAATAAACCAGGAAGTAAATCTGAAGTAATGATATTTCTTCGTTTATGATAAGTTTTGTAGAGGCTGTAATGCCTCCTGTGTGTTATGTGCGGATACCGTAGAATCCCGCGCATAAGCCCACCCGCGTATAAGCCCATGCTCGCGCATAACCCCAGGGTTAGTTCGAACATCACACAGCTTCATCGTACAAGCCCGTGGGCCTAGGTCATACCAAAGAGTCCACAAATTATGGACTCTTGGTCATACCATGTACGTAGTACATGTACATGTTTTTTTGTTTGTTTTCTTTTGTACATTTCAACACAATCATCGGTGGTTTTTGATGGTTTTTGTTTGCACAGTGGTTTTCAGCAATGTACTTCTCACTTCCTTGATACTTTTCAATAGCACAATTTTGGCGTCGGCGTATAAGCCCATGCCCGTGTATAAGCCCATGTTCTCGTATAAGCCCACCGAAATGTCCTTGTGAAACAGATAAGCCCATGGACTTATCTGCGGGATTCTACGGTATGCCTGAAGACTGGAAGACTGCTAACGTAATTTTGGACAACTTGTTAAAAATGCGCGACTCATTATAAAAACATGTCTTACAGTAGTTCAATCTAAACTTTCGGGCCAGGCCCATCTTCACGCATCTCCCGGCATGCTACAACGTGTCAGCACCGGCCGCGTGGATTGTTGATGAAAGCAGTGTTTCGCTAAAATACAATGGAACAATAAAGCAATCCTACCTCCACCACATGCACTCTCTGGCTGCTCTCTCACTGGCCGCCCTTTCAGAGGTTATGCGATACACGTCATATACTACGTTTGCCACCCCAAATTCTTCTATATAAGGGGTTTCTGTACCCGCTTTGGGCATTTTGCCACCCCAACTGGCTCCTATACATGGCGGATTTGACATTATCGCATATCCTCTATACAATGGAACCTATCAAATATGGATAACCTGCCAGGGATCAGGCACGTGTGTCCTGTATTGGCACAGGTTCTGAATACAGCACTGCAGCTTGATTAGGAGCAGTTGTGATCATACAGAACGTGTCCTGAATATGGAGGAGTCCGTTGAGTCCGGCAAGGCAGGTTCTACTTCAAGTACTATATATAGGAACTTCTCACATAATCAGAATAAACCAGTGCATGGGAAAGTGGGAAGGTAACGGAAGCTGAACTAAACCAGCCTTACATTTTTGCCTAACATGGGTGTTTTGGTTACTTTCACAAATGCTTCCAGCTTCCTTTCTTATAACATTAGGTAGCTCCAAATGTGGAGACGTGTACCAATTTTACCTTTGAGAAGAAAGAAAAAGTGGTGGTGGGTGGTGGGTGGTGGGTGGTGGCTGGGCACTCACATGGTACTTTGTATGCTACTTGTAGTAGGTCTAAGAATCAGAGGCTCGGGAACCCACCACTTTCTCCCTGTTGACAATTCAACGCAATGACCGGTACATAGCTCATGAACATTTTACTAAACTAAAAACAACAAGGAACTCTGGTTCCTTAAAAACAAAACAAAAAAAAAGAACCAGAGTTCCTTGTTAGACAAATTCAGTTCAGACCAGTCCGGATTGAGTTCTCTGTATTGGTCTAAACCAGTCCCGAAGGTGTAAGTCCGGTTCTGACTTGCTGTGTGTTCCTTCAAGCCAGTAGCACTACGAGGTGATTTGGCTTTTTTTTAACATGGTTGTAAAATGACGTTTTTCAGTCACTTCTAGACAAGCTACGTCCAAATGAATTGTTGCAAGTGGAAGTGCTATCCTTCATGCCTGTTGTGTCCAAAAACGGGAATGATCCCACTTTGGAAAGTGTCTTGAATCATGTCCTATTTTCATAGTATTCTCAGGATTCAAATAATTGGTGTGTCATTCTTTAACAAATTTGTAAAATGGCATCACAAACTGGGATATTCGGTCATCAATGTTCTGAAGTTGATAGATATCACTAAAAAGAATTGCTAGTGGATGAAAATTAGTCTGTCAACAGAGGAGTGAACTGCATTGTATGCTGCGAAAGCCGTGTTTTTGTATTTGTAACTAGTGGCTGTGTTATACGGTGGAATTGGATAGGTAGCATAGCATCGCAGCCATGTTTTCGCTCTCACAGAGTGTATTCCGTGACCTACTGTTCTTCATTACTGTCTTCAGTGATGGCAAGACGGCCTGACGTCGTCCAAAGGCCCTGCGGAAGCAATTCACTGCCCTCCTCGTCCATCCAGGGGCTCATTTTACACATTTTACAAAAAATGGCAAAGCACCCACCACTAGTTATACCGACGTGGCAGGGAGAATTAAATTGTATGCACCAAATTTTCTGGTCAATGTTGATCTACGATAAACTGGCTCTCATTTGCCACCACCCATGTTTCGATACAGCCATCCGGAACAGAGAAACAGCCAGAAGAAAAGCAAATTTTACACATTTGTTAAAAAAGCCAAATGTTAAAAAAGCCAAATCACCTCGTACATGTAGTAATACTGTATACCACCTTTATTTCGGTGTAATTTAAATTTCGGTATCTTCGGTACTGGTCCTGGATCACCTAGGGCATGTTCGATTGTACGAATCCATCAGCCCCGGACCCGGATTCGCCAAATTTGTGCATGTTCGATTGTACGAATCCGGATCCCGAGAGCACGGATTCGGATCCAGTCAACCCACCTCCCAGAGACGGATTCGACGGATTCGACGGATTCATTTCGATAGTACGACTCGTATCTACTCAAAACTCGCAATATGCGTACACTAGGTCAAGAGTTTACCACAACGCGTACAGATACTACGGGATGAGCTGTAGCAACGCGGTTGCTAAGGCCTTGAAACGGATTATCGGTTGTGCACATTCGATTGTATCCGTCCGATCAAAGTGATCTGGTCGGCGGGGATCGGGATCCAGTTTCTACAATCGAATGCAGCCCTAATTTAACATTACACCTAAATTTTCCGAAATACCAAAAATATGTAAACATGAAAATCACTGTCAAATCAACTTGTATGCTGGTATAGTACATGTACATATATATACATGTACATGTACATATTATGTGGAGCCTAGCCGGAGATATTAGAGGAATAGCCGTTTTTTTTTTTTTTTTTTTTTTTGGTGCCATTCATACCGAATTTATCCTTACACCTAAGGGCGCGTTTGGTTGGTACGAACTAGAACAGGATTTACCAGAACAGCGCGTTTGGTTGGGACTGTACCTGTTCTGGGTCGGCCAGAACATGTTCTGCTTGCTCCGGCCTCGAGGCCGGAGCAGACCGAGCAGTTTCACTTTTTCACAGTGAAACCTGGCGGGAACATCGATTTTGGTCCCAAATGATCACGTGCATACGCTTTAGGGTTGGACTCGTTGTACCGTACAAAGTAACCATGGTGAACCATACACATTTTGAAGAATGCACCAAGTTTGGCACATTTTTCCACAAAAATGTGCTCTGTTTCTGGAGTACCGTTTGGTTGGCACGAGGCTGCTCCATGTGCACCAGCTGTTCGATCCTGTTCTAGATCGTACCAACCAAACGCACCCTAAAGGTCAGGGTTGGCTTTTACCGAAATTTTACAACACCGAAAATAAGGTGATGTACAGTACTGTAATACTTGTTTTCATGTACAGTCGTCCCTCTCTAATCCGGCACTTTATAATCCAGCACCCTCGATAAACCAGCACAATTTTCAGTAGCCAAAATGTCCTCTTCATGCACATTGCAGCAGTAAATCAGATTTGTTAATCCAGCACCCTCCCTAATCCAGCAGATTTTCGTGGCACAAATGGTGCCGGATTATAGAGGGACCACTGTATATACCACGTAGTAATACTGTAGTACTGTTTTCATGCATACCGTACTTCCCCACATATAAGCGCATGATGGGCTTATAAGTGAACATTTCCTACAAAAAAAGATTTTTTGCTGTGTGAACATGTTCGGGTAGAAGCCCATGCGCTGAAACAGTACTACAGTATTACTACATGATAAATGTGCAATAAAGGTTTGTCTGTGTCCTAAACAACGGTGTTATCACAATGCTTAGCAGTATATTCAGCTCGCGGATGCTTAACCACACCGTCCACATACATACCGTAAAGTACCGTTGATCCGCCCCCCCCCCCCCACGCCATGTCGCTTCCCAGCTGGGTTTTCGGCAGGGGGCAGGAATTAGATCAAGGCTGTCAAGTGCAGTACGATGTACAACAACGTAGAAGTTCAGACTCGACGTGCTGAATTGTGCACATTTTCATCCTGGATTGGCAGATATTGTGCACAGCAGTGCATGCGTCGGTTCAACATCGTATTTTCGTTGTATACGCCGAAGTCGCTTCAAAGGTAGAAATCGACAGGGGGCGGGAATTAGAGAGGGGGCGGATCAACGGTACTTTACGGTAAGCCCATGCGCTTATAATTGGGGGGGGGGGGGGGGGGGGGTGCGCTTATGTCCGGACATAAGCACATGCGCTTATACGTGCGGAAGTACGGTAATACCATTGTAGTAATACTGTAGTACTGTTTTCATGCATATACCATGTAGTAATACTGTAGTACATTCTGCAGTACCGGCACCTGCACCGCCTGCCCCAGCTGCAGTAACCAGTGTTACCAGCTGGTTGGCTCTGTACGGCACTGGGCACATCGCACCGACCGTGTCATGACTTCCACTAGGCTGGAAAGATGGCATGTCAAAGAAAGGATTGCTTCTCTGACAATGGTGTCATGCACATAGCCCTATCCAGTCTTGCTTACCAGTGAAGCCATGTCTGAGAGGATCAATAGTAGCGCATACGTCCTCATCCTCATCGAACTCGGCCAGTAGTCGAGGAAGAACAGATTCCAACAAGCCACGATGAAATGTTGCATTTGCTATGCCTACAGCAGGAACAGCAGCAGCAGCAGCAGCAACAACTACAACATTAGTGCTGGGCATAATATTTTGTTCGCATATGCCAAATTGCCACTGGGATGCACCAGTGATGGCACAGCTCCGTTCAGTCTCAATCCCAGCACCAGTCTCAATCCCAGCACCAGTCTCAATCCCAGCACCAGTCTCAATCCCAGCACCAGTCTCAATCCCAGCACCAGTCTCAATCCCAGCACCAGTCTCAATACCAGCACCAGTCTCAGAGATCCCAGCACCAGTCTCAATCCCAGCACCAGTCTCAATCCCAGCACCAGTCTCAATCCCAGCACCAGTCTCAATCCCAGCACCAGTCTCAATCCCAGCACCAGTCTCAATCCCAGCACCAGTCTCAATCCCAGCACCAGTCTCAATCCCAGCACCAGTCTCAATTCCAGCACCAGTCTCAATCCCAGCACCAGTCTCAATCCCAGCACCAGTCTCAATCCTAGCACCAGTCTCAATCCCAGCACCAGTCTCAATCCCAGCACCAGTCTCAATCCCAGCACCAGTCTCAATCCCAGCACCAGTCTCAATCCCAGCACCAGTCTCAATCCCAGCACCAGTCTCAATCCCAGCACCAGTCTCAATCCCAGCACCAGTCTCAATCCCAGCACCAGTCTCAATCCCAGCACCAGTCTCAATCCCAGCACCAGTCTCAATCCCAGCACCAGTCTCAATCCCAGCACCAGTCTCAATCCCAGCACCAGTCTCAATCCCAGCACCAGTCTCAATCCCAGCACCAGTCTCAATCCCAGCACCAGTCAGAGATCACATACATACATACTGACGGGGACGGTTTAAGTACCACAGAACACAAACACGTCTTATACGTCAAGTACTATAAAACAGAGAGGTTCCAGGCTGTCCAAGAGAGTGCTCAATACCGAGTGGTAGAGCTGGTTCAAACAATAGGACAGAGAAAGTGTTTTTACTCCGAGTTTCACGCACTAAGCGATCATCAGAAAACAGTAATGAGAAATCTGGATCAGTGTTGGTTTATATACTCACATAGCAAAGTGTAAATAAATAGCTGCAGCATGGCGCAAATCTAAAAGTTGTGAATGGCGGCAGTGCAAAGCGCAAATGACGGCATCATGGGGCAAATATAAAAGTGTGAATGACAGCAGTGGTGAAAGGTGACAACCACTGTAGCCGGTTATCTCTTGCTTAGTTAGGTGATGGCTGTGGATGGTTTGAAGTTCCGAAGGTAGTACTTATTCTCGTGGCGACACTTTGACACGAGCTCACTCCTTTTGTTGAGAGAGAGGTGCTTGTGTGCTTGCACGATTGCCAATTTTTCCGCCAGGCACAGGTTGAACCTTTTGCTTTTGTTGCTGTAGGCTGCTGCTCTGCGGTGTACCGCCCATTGAATGCTGCATGCCTTCCCTTCATCCTTTTTGGCCCAGACGTACTGCAATAGGGGGTGTCCTTCTCGTATTGTCTGTGGAGAAATGATGATTGGTGGTTATAGTAGCATTGTTTGAATGTTGTTGCTGTTAATCCAGTATATTCCTTCTTCTCCATACCTGCGGTGACTCTTGCCTTATACACGATGCTCTCCGTTAGACACGCTCCGTCCAGTGGACATGAGTCTTTCACTCGCCAGTTACAAGTCCTGGTGTCGTTGTCACCTACGTTGGCTTGTTTCTTGGGTCGAAGAATCGTGTTATTGTGTTGTTTGACGATAGTGGCCATATTCTGCATGCAACTGTAGCTAACCTTTACCGAGTTCCGGTTGAAGATTTTGTTGAGGCTTGAGCCTTTGGGGAAGTGTTTGGCCACTAGCTGGAGGAAGCGATGTCCGACGTCGGTGGCGACGTTCTTGTTAAATGGTGGATTGAACCATATGATGTGCAAAAAAATTGTCCAAATGCAAAAACAGGATTGTCGATGGAGTGTGAATTCTTTGTTTCTTCAGCAGTTCAAAGGTCAGCAACAGACAGTCGGTAATGGCCACTTGGAGATACCTCTTATTGCAGATCATGACAACAACAGAAATAAATAATCCTTGGTTTCAAATTAAGGAAAGTTCGGGACGAATCTTGATTCGCCACTAGACAAAGTCAGGGTCTCTTGAGCGGTGGGTTTAGGCATGTTACAAGTACTGTCGTGGACATGGCAATCCAGTCGTTTGACCGGGGCCGGCGCCCTCACTGGCCTCAGCGCGTACAGAACAGCGCTTGCATTGATCCAATGCGACCAGCGCGCTGCAGCACGTGTGTACTGCTTACCCACAGCTGCATGGCCAGCGCCCTGGGACCGCTAGACGTGCGACCGGATTTCCATGTCCATGACAGTATATTGTTAGTTTCACTGTACTACTACTAGTACATGTAGTGCGGGCTGAAGGTGGGGGCGTACATACCATTGAGCTTGGCATTGAACTTGGCGTCCAAGATAGCTTGATGTGATTTCTCAATACCATGAACGTGTTTACAGAACTGAACAGGACCAATAGAGCACACAGCCGACAACACATACCATGGAAATATGATCTGACATGCATTCACCTACAAGGACTTACATG